GGTCAACCGTCCGTTGGACAAAGTCCCGAACGAGGGGGGGGGGGGTGTCGTATCAAGGCCCTCCAGAGGGGGAGGGGGGGGGTGGGTAGTAAAATTTTCGAAATTGGTCCAACGTGACGGCTGACCTTGTCTCTAACGGCGACCATGCTTGATTCCTCATACTTACCTAACACTATACCATCCGATTGTCACAACTATTAGATCATCGCCCAACATACCATGTGCTTCATCTTATTCACATATGAATATCAATCTGGTGAAGTTATGTTCGTTTTCCACGACTAACGTCTTTTTGTTGAAGATTTCCAATACCCTTCGTTTATAGAGAATTGTTGATTTTCCACCTGTCGGTCATTGAAACAGAACTCATATTTTCTTGTTCAAAATTCAAATGAAAGTGCCAGTAGAGAAGTAGGAGATGAGTATTGTGGCAACCTCCTTCTTGAGGTTAAGTCTTCTCTTTCATCACAGGCGATCTCCCTTCTGCAGAGCGTGCGATACATTGCTCATTTGGCGTCAGCGAAATTCATGTCATACATGGCGAAGGGGTCGAAAGTGCTTCGGAAATCTGTTCTCAATGCGTCCCTCGACGGACTCGGGTCAATGTTTATTATTGTGACCGTCATAAATCGGCAATACCGAAAAAGTTTTCAACCTGCAGCATTTGCATAAGTTCCTTCATTGAGCCACCTTTGGACAGTTTCGTTTTTCTGCGGCTCTGTCTGTGTAAAAAGTGTGCAGTTCAGAGAGCATTGTCATGAACCACGGCTCAAGTGCCCTGATATCTCGAACGGCGATCAGTTGGCTGAGGACGCTGGTGTGGGCTAGAGTTGTTTTATGGAAAGACCTATCTTGCATTTGCAACGTCACGGAACGTCGAAGCCTACTACACTGTAGCTTCTCAATACGTCACGTTGCCGGCTGTGCACTCAACCGTCAGGGCGTGTCTACATCTTGTTCCGGCAAAATTTGATCAGGACAGCCTGTTCGTAGAAATTCACTTGCCAAAATTCTAAGAGGATGAAGAACTGAAGAAAGAGTGAATTCTTGAAAGAACCGGTCACGATTAGTCCCTCAAAACCATTCTCTTCTAGAATCTAGTTGGAGGTCCCCTTAGCAAACGAGTCGCATTACTTTCGCTACTCACATGAGCACGACAAAGGACCTAGACCCCCGCCTTCACCGCTGTGGACCGCTGCCATTTTTACGTGTTTGCAGCTTAGCGGTGTCTGCCACTTGGCGAGCTCTTTTTGACCTCGCTTGTTGCCCTGCCGCGCCTTGTCTCTCCGTCTCACCAGCTGACCCTTCGATACAAAGAGGCTCTCAATTTTGGGGTTTTCCAGGTTCTTTTTCCTTCATAACCGGCGGTACCCCTCCCACCTCCTTTTCATTTTTGAGCAGAATAATGCACCGATTTGATCGCGACTCGCATCTTTGATGTCGATTAACTTCTACCTTCTCAATTGCCAAGCGGTTGCGAGCTCAGAGGGTTCTTGTGTAAAGGTGGAGTACTCGCTGAGTTCCAGTGTCGCACCATGTTCGCCTAATAGGAACTTCTTCTGAGGAATTTTGAGATCTTAAGGTGAAAATCTTCAGGTGAAACCACCCGGTTACATTTGGTAAGCTGCGATTGATTCGGCGTTGAAAGTAAACCGAAAGGGTAGTTCATTTTTTGTTTCCTCTGACGTCTGAGAAACAAACTTAAATCTTGTACATCGTCACCGTAGGAGAATTGAGCGCTTGTAAGCAGTCAAAACGCTGCACGAGGTGACGAAAAAGCAATGATAAGGAAGTCGTGAAAGCAAGCGCAGATAAACATGAACTATACTTCGAGTACAACAACACACTGACCATCGACTTGTCGAGCACGAAGAATCTCTACTTCCAAAGTGAGGGAGCAGCTTCGCAACAGCTTCACTCAGGGTCAACCAATTTCCTTTGGTTTCCAAGTGCCGAAAACTTTACACGACCCTCTTCAAGGGGTCCCGATACGGCCCTTCACCATCATCATCAGCCTTGCGAGAGTCCCCCGATACTACTCCGCCCTTTTCTCATCCCCGACCACCGTCCTCACCATCATGGTTGTTTCTATAGTACTTGATCTGAGACTAATCGACACAGCCCATAGTCCGCACACTGCATGGAGGTATAATAAATCTGAGAAACAACAAATCTTGCTATTCCGAATACTTACTCTTTGCTTCTCCAGATTCAAATATACGCCATTTATCAGAAACCTTCCAACAACGACCACCTTTTAACGCCACCATTCAACTTCCTAAAATATGACCTCCCCCCTATTTCCAATCCTTTGACCTTCATCAACCCCTAATACAACCTCGTTCCTTCCGAAAAGAGCTTAATATATATCCCTTACCACCTTCTTTAAGAACTGTGCAACACTTGACGCTGGCTTCACTAACGTAAGGTGCTCCACCACGTGGAGACATTTTGACAATAAGAGTGAAAACCGCCTTGTTAGTTGGATTTTTCGATAGAAGGAGTTTTTAGTCTTGAAGGCAGCGATTACGATAAGTTCAAGAAGGTTTTGAGACGTGGTGGTGCTCAATGGTACGCCAGTGGCGAAAAAAGCGGAGAAATCCGTCAAGAAAACGCAAAACGGGACCCCTTTTTTGGCCGTTGGTTTTCACTCATGAACAGGTAACAGCTCAGAAAGCGGACGTATGAACGAGTTCAACGCAACGCGTTTGGTGGCACCATGCCAAACCACGCTTCAATCGAGTTGCTCCAGTTGTGCCGCTGCTGGCAACGCAGCTCGTCCAAATCACCAACTAAACTAGTGGGCGGATCGCTTTTGGGGGCGGAGTGCTTTCGAAGTCCTGCTCAGCAACCAGCGCACCTTCGTCGTGAAAGCGCTACACCTTCCTTGGCAGCCAAGTAACTGATTCGTGTGGTGCATATGCTTCCCCGATGCGCTCCTACTTTATCGTAATCGCTGCCTTTAACTCTATCGGCGTCTGTGACAATTGGTACTTGCTTGCATGTGTTCGGCTATTCTAATCAGCTGCATTCAACTTCTTGGACGATAATTTCGCTTTCTAATGGTCTCTATTATGTAATGTTTGATAAGAGAAGAAAATAGTTTCAGGTAAAAAAGGCTTTGTTGGGAGCCGCGTTTATTGGAGAGGTCTGAAGAGTTTCAGCAGCTGTTTTTTGTTCGGAAAAACTCGTGAAGATGAGCGTCAAACTTCGCCGTGCGACGTTGGACAGCATCAAGTAAGGCAATGACGAGTCATTCTCTGGCATCACCGTTACGGAGGATATTCCTCCTTTAAACATTTCATATTTGGTTTATAAATCAGTCACTTTGTTTAGAAAGGAGTCGTATAAAATCAAACCCGGATCACTTTGGTGAATAAATCTGGGCTAGGGTGAGAGACCCGCTTGCGCAAAACGTAGCACAATTGTAAGCAAGAGATGCAGAACCCCAGCCGGGGGCAGGATTTCGCTCATGAATCAAAATTTTTGTGAACCCTTCAGAACGTGAACTGCGGCGTTAAAGCAACAGTTGACAAACAAACATGGTGAAGGGAACACATGTGTCGTCAATTTTTCAATGATACTCCGATCCGAATCTAGGAAGTCATCCAGTTTCTGACGGAGGCCATTCACAACTTTTTTGCGTTCTTACTACAACATATAATAGTAGAGCAGAGTTGTGATATCTCAATTTTGTGATCTGAGCCCTGATGCTCCCAAAATCCAGAAGGCTCTTGAACAGTTCATAAAGTCGCTGTCCGAAATAATGGCTAAAGAATGAGCAAATATATGAAATTTCGCATACAGTAGTGAAGGGAAGGTATCCATTTTCCATTCTGTGAACAGCTGAAACAGATCGTATGAATACATACACACCTTTGATTTTCAGTGTCTGGATGATGGCACCAATTGGCTCAGTATCCGATGAGTCACCACGGCTACGCGCACCGACGGTGAAGAGCATCTCCGCCAGTATAGCGGACAAGAAAGACGAAACGTATGGAGTTTGTTTCGCTTATGTTTGGCCTTGTCTGTGATTCATCTCGAAGAGCGGTATCCTCCCTTGCTTTTTGAAGGAGGCTTGTTGCTAGAATCCAATTTGGATGAAGCAAGTGTGAACCTCAGACAATCAAAGGTGGAAAGCGCTCGTCTTCTTATGAATGGATCAACCTTCTCCTGCAATGTAGCCCTGAGAACGAGAGATCCCAGAAGCACAAGTTTTCATGTTTTTTTTTCTGAATATAAGCGCAATCCATGTTTTAAGTTTTTTCTCTCGCCTAACTCAAGTACTAATCCTCCTTCTGCGAACGTGCGGTTGCAGCACCCGCGCAACCTATAGCGGCCGTCCGTTTAGTCGGGTACTTTACCGTCCGAGAGGACTGACTTCCAGATCAGCTTGCTCACTCTAGTCATAGTGAAGGTCCACATTGTATTCGAAATTTTCCTGCGATTTCAAAGGGCAGTGCAATGTGTGGCGCATCCCAAAGAGATTGATAAACATTGAATGCTCTATCCTACCATTCATAATATTTCTTCTCCAATAATAACCTGAAATGATACCGAGAACTCGTGTTAGCTTCTTCAGGTTCCCCATCTGTAGTACAGATTCATGTGGATCTGAAGGCAAGGTCCAGGATCAAATTTATGTGGGATTGCCAGTCGAGTAAGGAAGTAGCAATCCGATGTGGACGCGCAACGAGAAAGAGCGAAAGAAATCCTCTAAAACACCAAACTACGAACTTTCTTACTGTACGTCTTACAGGAAGACAACAAACTAATGCGGGTCGCGGAGAAGGAAAAGAATTTCGAGTTGAGACAGCATAGCAGGTCATCACTACTACAAAGCCCATAACAAAGACAGTGGGTAGTAATTACACCATAAGACTCAAACCGGGTGTCAGCCTGGTCATGAGAAATTATCTCCAGTCCCAACTCGCCTTGAGTCTAACAAAGGAAGGTCGTTCAGGGTGTGCCAAGCTTTTTCAAAATGGTTTCTTGCATGACATTGGGGCACATATGGGGACCACAGAAGCATGGTTCATTTTTCCTGAACGGCCCTCTGAATACCAGAAAAGGGGTCCCTAGTTCGATTCCTCGTGGTGACAAATTTTTGCATTTCGAGTTGACGTTTCAAAAATTCGCGCAAAGAAAAAAATTTTTATTTGGTAGTTAAAGGATAAAGGATAAAGCATTTGCCGTTGATCAATCCCTTTTTGGGATGCGGCACGCATTCTACTTCCATTTGTACATTCGCAGTGGCGTTTTGAATGCGATGTGGCCTATACAATGACTTGCGGGGGCCAGCCGATGTTCAAGTCAGTGTTTTTATCCTCCCAGACAAAAAAATAAACCAAAAAAAAAAAAAGACAGTTCTGGTACCAATTAACCGACCCCGGAGGGATGGAAGGCTTGGTTGGCCCGGGCGACTCACGACCCAGGATTTGATCCCGGACCGCTCGCGTGGTGAGCGCGCCACTTGTCACTGCACCACTTCCGCCCTCAAAAATGTATTAGCATGAATAAAAGTACCAAATTCATGATTAGGACCGTCAGTAACCCTTACAAATAGACTTTGATTGAAAAACTGGTGGAAAAAGGTGTGACTAGGGACCCCCTTTTCTGGTATTCAGAGAGCCGTTCAGGAAAAATAAACCATGGTGTGTTGGTTCCGCATGTGCCCCTATATCATCAATACACCGGTTTGAAACTTGGCAACAGCCCCTGAACTCTCTTGTTAGAATGGCGTCTCAGAAGCGTGAAGTGCACGGCCACTGTCAGTGGTGGCGCCCCCCCTAGTAACTTTCAATACCACGAGGGCTTTTTTCACTGAATTCAGAGCCTGCGAACCTGTCCTCAGTCCTACAGGCAAAAATCTGGCTCAACGTCAGAGCAGCTTTTGCCATTTGATCCATTTATAAACTAATAAATTATATGAATTTGGAGTGGTACTGTGTGAGTAGCAAAGCGACTTTCATTTGTAAAGGATTTTGTACCGCGCTCTACAAGTTGCTCTCACCATTCGAGCGTTACTGATGGCAACATCACAATGAGGTTCATGGCTCACATTGTCTTTTTCCCATAGCGGAATCGCTTTCCTGAACGATTGCAAAGAATGAGAAATGAGAATGAGTCGGTGCCGGTCATGATATTTAGATTGGCATTTTTTAGAACCACTTCGAGCCTGGTCTGAAATTTCAAATGAAGTGTTCAGGGCAGCAGAACAAGAGACTTCGTGGCGATCCATCTATCTATTAACTGCCATCTGTATGTTCTGCGGTGTTCAGTTCTCAATATTTTTCCCTACATTATGGCCATTCCTTAATCAGGTATCGTTTTCGCAGCCTTACTATGAATCACCCAAATATGCCTCTGTGGTAATCCATTTTGAATGAAATATTGCATCACAAGCTAGCTAGCAACATCTTCACTCTCTGACAGTATGTGAAGCAGAGTGTAAGGTGAAAGTAGGATACAACGATGTTGGTTAGAGGTGTCATCCTTTAACATTGTGAAATTCTCATTCAATTATGTCTCCGATTTTTATTTTAAGGTGCAGTTTGTGGCACCATCAAAGATTGATTTATGCATTTTGAGAGTCGTAGAACATCTTATATTATCCTTTTGGTCCCTTTTTTCCATTGGAAGAGAGAGAGAGAAGTGGAGAAAGAAAAGGTTGTATAACGATATCGATGTTGAGGTGGATCCAACAGCTTCGGAGACTTTCTTTGGCATCATCACAGCTGCGTTCTCTGTAGGGCAAGGTCTCGCATCGCCGGCTTTTGGATTCTGGATGAATCGTTCAAAATCTGGTCAGTTTTGGTCTGGAGCTGCACGCTATTTGCTCCTATGAATTTATTAATCTTTTCATTTTTTTGATGACAGTAGTATGGTGGGTATGATGATGAAGCTGTGCCGAACGGGTCAAACTTTGTTTTGTGATCCGGCGTACGGCTTAATTCGTTGAGCTTCTTTAAGAGCGTATGACAAAGGGCATTAGGAGGTAGAGCGTTACAAATGAGAAGGCGCCAGACAAAAGCTCGCTACGGACGACGAACATTGCAGCTCAGCTAAAGTTGCAAGGCCCTAGCGCTCTTGTTGGCGATTTCCATGCACGGGAATGCCACATCTGTGATTGTCTTCTAGGCCTATCCTACAGACCGAAGGGAATCGTTCACACGACTTTTGCCTGGGTTGTGCCTTCAAATGTGGAGAAATCTTTTTGTTCTATCGCTCTCACCCCCTCCTTTGTATCGCCCTGGTGCTGACCTGCTCTATCGTAGTTACAGCCAACTGGGAGTCCTGCCAGCCGTCTCGTCTGGTAGGACTGCCATTTCAGAAGACAACTGTGAAATGAATCAATGTACTACCTATTTAATGTTGCAACCATTATGCGATCTCTCTTTAGTCGTGCCACAATGGCGATTTAGCATTTGTAGAGACGAATCCAAAACCTTTCACTTCATTGTTGTTTAAATTGCCTATGCTTTCTGTAGAACAATTAAAAATGAGCAAGAAGCCTTGTAAGGGAACCCAAATATGGTTTGCTGAGCATTCCATGTTTTTTAGATATAAAACCAATCATGAAAATTGAAGTGGGTATTCTTCGGAAGATGAAAAGAGGGTGGTACACAAACAGCGGATGTCCCAAAGTAGTGCATAAGTATATAATAGTGAAAATCGTTCAACGGTATCTTTTCTTTTTCTAGAAAAGTAATGATGATGAGGAGTCGTTTGAATATCTTTATTGGCGAGCTTTCACTGTGCCAACAGCTACTTCAGTCTAAATTAATCAAGCATTTAGCT